ATTAGTTCCTTTTGGTCTCACTGTTTTAGGTAGAAAATGCTAAAGTGTGCCAGCTCTTCTTTGAGATTTGGTCAGTCCTCAGAAACTTAAACAAATATTTTCTCAAATATCTAATCCATAATAATGGAAAAGTTAACACATTAATTTCCTCCTGAGTGAGCCTGTCTTAGTTGCCTAGTGCTGCTGTAACAGAAATTTATTTTCTCACAGTTCTGGAGGCTGAAAGTCCAAATCAGGGTCTCGGCCGTGTCGATTCTTTCTGTGAGCCTCTCTGGTAGCTTTTGGTGTCTGCCATGAATCCTTGGCATTTCTTGGTGTTCCTTGGTGTCTGTCTTTCCCGTGTGTGCCTCTGTGTCTATTCTCTAGTCGTTGTATAACTTAGAAGTGATTAGGTTTAGAACCCACCCTACATGGGCATGACCTCATTAACATCACAAAAGAAAACCCCTCTTTCCAAAGTCATATTTACAGGTACAGAGGTTAGGATTTCACTATATATATTTCTGGGGGATAAAATTCAACCCATAACAAGCCTATAGAAATTTGTCCTAATTCCCTAAAGTGTTTTATCTAGCTAATTTGCACTCCATCCCTCTGTTCTTTTATCCACTCCTACCCATATACATAGACCTTACCCTCATGAAACAATGACAAGACCAAATCACGGACTAATTGGTAAGAGTGACCTCAGGAATTCATTTGGAATAGTATTAGAATTGATTAATCGTGCATAATTGGTTAATATCACAATTTGTCCTCATTATTACATTTCGTCCCCATTTTTACATTGCTCTCTTTTAAATTTAGCTTCTCTTTCACCCTCATTTTCCCTCCATCATCATAACATATTCCAATGGGTGTTGATCTCTTCTCATACTCTTGTTCCTGAAGGCTTCTACTAAATCCACAAACACTGAATGGGGCACTTCAGTCTTTACCTGTTGTAACCTACTGTTAGTACCATAGATCGTACCTACCAAAGCCCACCTCCAGGCTTTATCTGAAAACTGACCATCTTTCAAACATCCACACACTTCCCTTAACATCTTCGCAAATGGCATTGCTTCTTCCTTGTCTCTTACCAAGATCTAATTCAACCTGGTTTTAGAGCCTCACTTCATACCCCTTCCATTACATATGCACCCTACGGCGAGATGGGACCCCTTGCCATCCCCCAAATACAGACACCCCTGTGCTTTCTTACCTCCTGGCTTTATTGAGGCCATCCTTCCTAGTGTACCCTTCCCCCACTTCTGCCTACTCCACCCACTGAAGCCCTTCCATCTTTTAAAGCCTGGAATTCTGAGTTCGAGGAATCTGCAGACTGAGAAATTGAATGAAGAATTGTGTAGGTGTACTTAAATATACTTTTCTAAGCAGAGGGTTCAGTTTTCTGTAGATCCTCAGAAGGGGACCAAGACTTCCCGAAAATGTAAAGATAACTATTTTATTTTCTTCTGCCTTTCTGAATTATACTTTAATTTTTGTCATATATAGCCTTGTTCATATAGTTATGCATTTATACATTATATGAGTACATGTTCTTTCTTACCAAATTATAATCTCCTTTAAGTTTTTGTCATGGTTTCCTTCACACTACCTCATATATGATAGGTACATAGTCACTGTGTATAAATAAAACTCATCCCTTAAAAAGGGAATCAGGGCTGTGATCCTTTCAGGTTGTTAGAGTTCCCCTCAGTGTTTTTTATTTAACACATATGATAAACACATATGATAAATACGTGTCAATGTTTTTGGTATGCTTCTCAGAAGTTCTTATCAGCAAGGTGGTAACTAAATGTTCTGGTTATCCCTTTGGGCTAATTAATGAGGCTTAGAGAATTCATGGGGATTTGAAAACCTGTGGGTTTCCAGGTAGGCTTCAGCATGGTTCTGGGAAGCTGATCGTCTTCCATATGGAACAAGCTCAATGTTTATGTCTTGGCTGTCTATCCATGTTTTTCCTTGTTTCTGTTCCCTTGGGCTCCACAAATTCAGCACAGGCCAAAAGAAATAGCGCATTTGTTACCTGTATTACAAAGTGAAGCAAAGGAGAACCAGTTTTCTTCAGGTCCAAGGTGTTCTAGAAAGTCAATATACCTCTAGGGTACCCAGTTTGACCCAGTTATCTCCCTGTCCCTTCTGTACCTCCACCAATGTTCTTCAAAAATTGATCAGAATTGAGAGGGCCCATTGCTACCAACCTGGCCTTCAAGGATTGTTGTTGTGTTGTTAGGTGTCATTGAGTTAGTTCCAACTCATAGCAACCCCACGTACAACGGAACGAAACACTGCCCGGTCCTGCGCCATCCTCACAATTGTTGCTATGCTTGAGCCCATCGTTCCAGTCACTGTGTCTGTCCATCTCGTTGAGGGTCTTCCCCTTTTTCGCTGACCTCTACCTTACCACACATGATGTCCTTCTCCAGGGTTGGTCTCTCCTGATAACATGACCAAAGTATGTGAGGCAAAGTCTCGCCATCCTTCGAGGGAGTTGTATGGAAATCTAGAATCCAGCGTGTGTCAACTTCAGTAATAGAAGCAGATCTTTTTTTTTTTTTAAATAATATTTTTTTGTGTTCAGTGAAAGTTTACATAGCAAATTAGCTTCCCATTTAAAAATTTCCGTACAAATTGTTCAGTGGCACATTAGTTATCTTTTTCACAGCGTGTCAACGTTCTCTTTAATTGTGTTCAGTTTGCTCCCCTTCCAGTGCTCTCGTTTCCCTGCCCGCTTATATTCTCATTTTTGCTTTAGAATAATTGTTGACCTTTTGTCCTTATATAGATGGTTTTTCCATAGAGTGCTGTACTCACAAATAATATACTTTATCTTATATAAAGCCAATCTGTTATTTTGCTAAAAGGTGAACTCGGGATGTTCTTGGTTCAAGGTTTAAAGAGTACCTCAGGGCAATAGCCTCAGGGAGTTCTCCAGTCTCCACTGGTCCAGTAAGTCTGGACTTTTTAAGAATTTGAGTTCTGTTCAGTGTTTTTCTCCTGTTCTATCAGGATCCATCTACTGATGAGATAGAAGCAGACTTATACCTTTTTCCAGAAAAAGAAAGCCTTGTGTATCCAACTTAATATTTCCCTCAGTGTTGCTCATACTTCTGATCATTTTTATCTTTCATCTAAACCTATACAAGATACAGATCATTTTTATTTAGTGGACTGAAATCATGCTTCAAATTCTTCAAACTCAAAATTTAAAGAAAATACAGATATTTTAGGAAATTTAGACTTTTGAGCAAATTCTTCCTAAAAGTGACATGTTGTCACATGATTCTTTTCTGCTGTTTTCTTTTTTTTTTAATCAAGAGCTTTTACTGGTACCCTTTAAAGAGATGTGATACCCAGATCTTTCACTGTTTTGGTGAAATGTTTGCTTTATTATTATGTTTACATTGCTCTTCCTGTAATGTATCATTTTCCATTGGTGCAATATCCCTGTCTTTGTTTTATTCTCAAGTATAATGATGATAAACTGCATTTATTTCTCATCTGGAGAGAGAATGTTTCCGACGCCATTTTACCTGATTTTGTGATCTAAGAAAAGTTAATAGAATATGTTGTATTACACCTTCTTATGAATTAATGTAATATCTATTTAAGCATATTTTTTCTGTAATTCCTTAACCTAGCATATTCTTCTCAGAATTACATCTTATTAAGTTTAGGAAAGAAGCAGTAAATTGGGGGAAGTATTTAAAATAAAAGTTACTCTTTTTCAAGTCATTCGAAGGAAAATTTTATTTAATGTTGATATAATTGATTCTGAAAGTTTTATGTACAGTGATAGTGTTCCACCATCAAGAAATTGGAAACTTGAGAGGAGTAAAATGGCCTTGCTATGGATATTACCATCCATGCTTTTTTTTTCAGGGGCGGGGGGGTAGTATATTAAAATTTCAAGGCATCATCAATTCCCATAGCCAACGTAAACTATAAGAAAAATAACTATTTTTTAAACATTAAAGTGCTTTTTCCTAGCTGCTTATACTGAATTATTGATTTGACCAGATTGTTAAAAATAATGAACTCTATTTTCTCTTTTAAATTGTAGAATGTAATTTTGTTGTTGTTCTTTTAGTCAATATTGTTACTATAGCCTGGTAACCAAATCCAAGGTGTTCAGAACCTCGTGTTACAGTTCCAGGAGCCGAAAGATATCTGTAAACATGAGGGTATCAAGAGCTCATCAAATTAATTATCGGCACCTGCTGTTTAATCAGTTACGGTCTTAATGATTGCTCGTGGCATGCTGAGGTTACATGGAATAAATCTCTTTCTGTGGTTTCCCCTTTTCTTTGGCTTCATATGATTTTTGTCTTCTACATTCCATTCCTGCTGTCATTTCTGTGATCTCTGCTTCTCTTCCACGTCCTGCCATACAGTGTAAAGGCCTTGGTTACGTGTCGGTGTTTGTTTGTGCTAATGACTCTCCACTCCCAAGTTTTAATACAGGATTAAGAGAGGGGCAGGCAGATTCCGTAGCTTTTTGAACATTAGCGAAGGTGTCTTTGCACATTTGCATTAAGATACTAACTCCTGTTAAACACAGAATCTGCAGTATGAGTTTTCTTTCAGGACAGAATAGAACAGATATTCAGTACTCCTTAGGTGGGAGGTTATGGAAAGATAGTGGTTTCTTTCCCACACCTGTGTCTTTGAACTGTGAAAGAAAGAATGTTTTCTCGTAACTAGAAAAAATCCACTGGGGTTCTTGCTTGCTTTCTGGCTCCCCATTGTGACTATAATTACACAGTGTTCAAAAAGGGTTACTTTTGTTGTTGAGCTTGTTACTAGTGTGCATATTTTCATTTTATTTTCTGGGGGCGGGAGGACAAAGGGGGAAATACACATTTTAAGGAGCGCCATTGGTTTGCCACCATTGAAGAAGAAATTGAGCTTTAAAGAATCTATGGAAATTTCTCTGGTCGGCCTTTTATTACTATCTTGTCTTGAGCCCTTTTTTTAATGACATCTATTATCAGATTGAAATGGCGATTGAGACGCTGCAAAAGTCTGACGGTCTGTCCACTCACAGAAGCTCTCTCCTCAACAGCCATGTAAGTTGCCTCTTCTTCATGTAAACTAATCCCTGGCTTGTTCTGCATGTGTTGCTTGCCTCTAAATGCTTGTTTTGTTTATTCACTTATTTATTTTGCTTCTTAACCTTCTTCTCTTAGCCCTTTATGATCTCTGTATCACTTGATGGCTATTTTGTACAGTGGGATATCTGAAAAATAAAGCCCCCCGTATACTGATTTACTAGGTTCTTGGCACTGTTTTGGTACAGATATAACATTCTTCAGTGAATAACAAGCTGCCATGTGTTTGTAAAACATAATAAATGGGGAATTTTAAATATTTCAAAATGTGTAATTTGATTTTTTATTTTTTTTTAATGGAGCAAATAATTATAATCTGCATGTCTTTATCTGAGACAGAGAAACAGTCATGGCTGCTTGCACAACCAGTCATGTTAAGTGGAAGAAAGATTTGTAATGCCAAACCCACTAGCAAATTGTTTGAAAATGATGTCTTTACCAGTAAGACTGTAGAAGGTGGGCAGGTGAGTTCATAAACAAGCTCAGACCTAAAGAGAAGTGAAAATGGGCCAGAAGAAGAAATGAGCCCAGAAATAAGCCATCAACTGCTAATCACTGAGATAAACCAGAATCACTGTCAGTATTCTTGATGCTTTTTAACTGTTATCAGATGCAGCAGCACTAGGACACTGGTAAGTGTGAGAAGAGTAAGGACAGTTTTGTGAAATTCTAAACATTTTCATCAACTGCTCAAATCTGGGGAACCAGTGGAAATGCTGGTTTCAAATTACTTTGTTAAGGTGATTTCAGAATATATGGAGAAAAGTCAACAGACCCACGACCTACACACATGATCTGTTTAACGAGATCTGCTAAATTAATATCAGTGACATTTTAGGAAGGATTAAGAGTTTTTCCTCCCAACTAGCAGTGTGTTCTTAAACTTAGGAGTGAAATTATTATGATTTGTTCCTTCTTCCCCCTATTCTGTGATTTAAAAGTCCAGAGTTGAGATCATACCAAATGAAATATTGTAATTTTTTCGGTAAACCTAAAACCTTCAGCTCATAGGAATTCTGTTAACTATAAATTTTAAACAAGTGAGTTTTGCATGAAAATGGATGTTTGGGAGAGAATGAGATAATAAGTGGTGAAATTGGATAAAATAATTGAGACTAGAGATCAAAAAGTATTAGTATGCTTTTTAAAATATTTGAATTGCCAAGCATTTAAATTTAATATTCCAAAATAACCCTAAATACCTCCTTTCTTACACATTTCTCTTCAGACGAGGTATGTTGTCTTGTTTCTTTTCTAAGGGAAGTTTCATGGCAAATAAAAAATAGGCTAGCCAACTTGGAGAATGCCTGTAATTTTGGTGAAATAGGTATAAATTTTAAACTACTATGTATTTTGGCCCTTCTTCTTGAAGCAGTTGAAGGCACATAATCTTTTTTTTCCTTTCTGAAAAATTGTATTCAGTATGTCATTCTTTTATATCCTTCATAAGTACATCCCTTCTGTGTTGGTGTGAGTCTATGGCTGTGTATAAAGGCTGATTTACTCTATACTTTTAGTATGTGGAGGAGCCCTAGTGGCACAGTGTTTCAGCGCTCGGCTGCTAACCTAAAGATTGGCAGTTGGAACCCACTGTCCGCTCCACGGGAGAAAGATGTGATAGTCTGCTTCCGTAAAGATGACAGCCTTGGAAACCCTATGGGGCAGTTCTACTCTGTCCTACAGGGTTGCTGTGAGTTGGAATCAACTCAGCGGCAGTGGGTTTGGGTTTTGTTGGTTTCGGATTAGTATGTGGGAGGTGGTGACAAATTGGTACTTGTGTTTTGAACATGACAAGTGAAAATGTTCTTCACTTTCAGTCAGAAATGTGCAGGGACATAAGAAAAAAGACCCTGAAGTGTCCAGTTACCTTTTTTGAACTTTGAGACTTCCGAGAAGTTGTGCTTTGATATTCAGTTCACATTTTGTTTTTATTTGAGGAATCTAGTTTTGTAAAATATGTGATATGTATAATTTTAACTTTAACTTTAATTACCCACCTTAATTAGTATTTCCATGAGCAATAATGTAGGTATGAGAACATGTTTTTTTGCATATTTTTGTTGATTTGTTGATTTGTTTGAAACTTTTTCAAATATGTTGTTTTTTAAAAATTATTTTTCTCATAGAATTCACGAAGTGATATTTAATGTTAAGGAATGTGTGAATTAAGCTACATAAACAACAGACAAATGTTCCTTACTCCAATGGCATCATATTGTTTATTACATAGCATGGCAGATCTCTCCCAGTGTTTACAACTGCTAGAGGCTGTTCAGTAGATAGAAAGAGTGGGCGCAAATGTTGGCAGTGCAGCGATAATCTTTCTCCAGCTATCCTGATTCCTTTTTATTATACCTCTGAAATACACTCAGTTCATTCAAAAACAAAGTTATAGCTAAGACTTTAGAAGTACAAATGATTCTATGATTTCTGTGTGAACAGCGGAGAAAGGACTTGCTTGTACTGAAACTCCACAGAACACTGCCCTGATCAGGTTCTGCTGGCCCATCATCTCCCAGAACACAGAAGATCCTATTGTCTTTTTGTCCTTGGAAAGTTAGTGATTCTCCTAATTTTTAGTTGATTAATCCAAACAACTGGAGTAAGCCACTGCATGCATTATAGTTGACAGCCACCTGCTAAAGGTATTTTAAGTTCTGGGAACCTATTTGGTGATTTTCAGTTATGTGAACAATTTTTAGTAGCGAGATTTTAGAAAAAACTCTTAATATTTTAAATGTCAAGAAACTACATTACCTTTTTCCCCTCACTATAAACCTATGGAAGGGACCCTGGTAGCGCTGTGGTTAAATGTTCAGCTGCTAACCAAAGTTAACTGTTTGAACCCACCAGCGGCTCCACGGGAGAAAGATGTGGCAGTCTGCTTCTGTAAAGATTACAGCCTTGGAAACCCTGTGGGGCAGTTCTGCTCTGTCCTGTAGGGTCGCTATGAGTCAGAATCAATTCAACGGCAATGAGTTTGGTTTATCAAAAAAAAAAACAATGGAACCACTTGCCATTGAGTCGCTATTGACTTTGGTAGCCCCGTGTGGGCACATGTTGAAGGCCATGTGGGGTCACCACTCCTCACTATAACAACAAACAATAACCCGTTGCCGTTGAGTTGATTCCAACTCATAGTGACCCTATAGGACAGAGTAGAGCTGCCCGTAGGGTTTCCAAGGAGTGCCTGGTGGATTCCAACTGCTGACCTTTTGGTTAGCAGCCATAGCTCTTAACCAGTACGCCACCAGGGTTTCCATCCGCTCACTACATAGGACATCAAAGAGAATGATTTGCAGTTTGTGGGATGCTTTAAGGTAAACATGGATTGAATTTTATGATAAACTAGTTCCCTGATGGATCAGTTTCTACAAAGGATCAAATTCATTGGGCAAAAAAAATTGGATATAGGAGAAATTATTCGTAAATAGTGTCTCATATTTACTAGTTTCTAAAGAGGGATTTGCTTCTTGTCATCTTAACCATGACTTTTGAGGTGAAAAGTCTGTTCTCACTCTATTTTGGGATGTGGAATAGAAAGATTTCCTATTTTCCCCTTATATATTTGATTAGTCACAGTAATTCGGAAAACTCTTGCTGGGTTCGCATCATCTAAATAACTTCCTTCAAGAGAATGCAACCTGCTTGCTTTCCTTTTCACCTTTCTTTTTTCACACATTAAAAGGTAGAGTGCCGCATTCAATTCTGTGTCCCTTTTTTGGCACATTCTTAAGAGCATTTGGTACTGCTGGTCTATTTTTATCATTATCTTGCCATTAACCAGATTGAAGTGCATATATAACTTGTCTGTTGCATACGCTGGACCGCCTCACCCGTGACTGAGCACAGTTACACTGAGTGCAACCTTGTGTTCTATTAACAATGTTAACATAATGGCAATTGTTTCAGTACTAGCACCTCATAGACAGCCAGTAACAATTATGGACAAATGAAAATTCCAAGAGTGAGGAGTTTTATATGTTTTTTCACCCATGCATCCCCAGAACAGAGCCTGGGACATAGTCGGTACTCAGTAAATATTTGGTAAATGAATTAATGCAAGAGATAAAAGGGAACAGCCCTTACCTACCCTTCAGTATTCAAGGATGCCTTTGCCAATTGTGTGTGTTTCTGTGGGGACTCATGCATGCATTGTATTGTCCCGTTGTTTTCAAGTCTGCTTCAGTAGGTGTATGTGTGAGCATGGTGGTCTTTCCACCTTGTGTACCATTTTCGTGAACGAATACATAGTTTTGAAATCATTTCCCCATGTACCTTATTTGCAGCCTTCAGTTTTAACAATCAACCATTTTTTTAATCCTCCAGTCTAACCCTTTAAAGAGTTCTAGCCAAGGGTGACATCCTTCTTCTTGTATTTTAGATTTGGACTTTTAATTTGTTTTTGTGTAATTCTACCTATTAGTATAATATTTTTACTGAAATAATTTTATTCAGTCTACAAAGATGCCATGGATAAATGATTAAGAGTCTGCCTAAATTAAATTAGAATATCTTAATTCACTTCAGCGCAGACTTAAGTTTACTTTATGTTCTTTCTCAGTTATAAGCAATATAATTGGCATTTAGTGGTCGTATTGTATTCAACTTGGGATCTTTTAGATTATAAATTTGAATTCAGAAATGTTGTTAATTGTTCCCAGTGTTCACATAATGTTTTTAAGCTTGTATATTTAAAAAAAAAAAAATTCCACTTAAAGTATATAAAAAAGCTTCAGGCTTTGTTTTATATGCTTTTTATAACCCAGCAAATAATTGTCTCCAGGCTTTTGCCACAGTTTTTGCTGCTGAATATATTCAGCTCAAAGCAAAACCTTTACTTTATAGTCAGTCTTCCTTGACTTTGCTGTGTTGTAAATATAATTTACGACAGAAATAAAGCCTGTTAAAATGCATATCATCAGTGAACTGAACTTAAAATGAATCCTGATGGATAATAATCCATCTGGGAAAAAATGCCAAATGTTACATTTAGGTGTTAATTGGGGAGTGCAACATATATATATATACATATATATATTTTTTTTATTTGTCAATCAGTATTTCCCTTTGGGAAAATAGGAACTGTTCCTCTTCTTTAATCTATTCTGATTAATCTAGATTAAATGCAAAGGTTGAAAGATGTAATTATGTTGGTTTCCACTCTTAAATGAGCTTATGTTAATTCATTAGTAGAATAATCAAGTTTTTAAAGATAAAGGTTAAAAGTTCCTATAGTATTTTATGGGCTTTTTAATGATAAATGTAAACAGCATTTTACAAGAGAAATAATAGTTTAATTCTAAAATACTAAATGTTAAGGGTGTTGAGGTCTCACGTCCAAATAAATTTTATTAAAGACAAAACCCAAGGAAGCAGTATATCTTGTAATAGACATTCTTGTCCTTTCTCAGAGTGTATGCCTTTAGATTACACATAACCTCCAAGTTTCTTTTACAGTAAAGTTACTGCTTTCTTACAGTGCATTTCAGACTCAGATGTCTGATTTACAATGTCATCATGGTATCAAAACCTAAACATCAAACACTGACATATTAAACCTCTAAGCCTGACCTGGAAGATCCTAATTCACTCCCCTGACACAGGAAGTTGCTGGGAGATCTGCCTTTGGTGCTTGGGTAGTTGGAGGGTTTTCCAAAGGGGAGGGATGGCTTGGCCTCATGCCACCTCCACCTTTCAGGGTTTTCCCCTCCACTTCACTTCGTGTTGCCTCTTCAAGTGATCTCCAGTCTTCTGGAAAAGAAAGTTCCTCCTGCTGCAAACAAGGGGTTGGGAACAAATGAATTTTGCTACTATGAGATTCGTAGTCACCAAAATACCAGTCTTGTGGAATTTCTCTAGCCAGCTAAACCAAAAACCAAACCCGTTGCCATTGAGTCAATTCTGACTCACAGCGACCCTATAGAATAGAGTAGAACTGCCCCATAGGGTTTCCAAGGAGCGCCTGGTGGATTCGAACTGCCAACCCACAGCCGTAGCTCTTAACCACTGTGACCAGGGCTCCTCAGACCAACTAGTGTTTATTATATGTATATATTTCAAATAAACTCAAAAAAAAAAAAAAACTAGAAATGAAGAATCATTAAGAATGTAAAGCTATGCGAAGAACAACCAGTTTGCCCAACAATCAGTGCAGTTGTTTCGACCATTTCAGAGGACCCATGTAGCCTCATTTTCTCTAAATTAGTTTGGGCATGAGGCTTCCAAAGAGTACAGGCCAACTTTTGCTATAATTATCCCACTATTTCTGTGAAAATATTTCTTCGATTAACAATTATCTGATTAACTCTGTTTTATGTATGTAAACGTAACTTTGAACTCAAAATATTTTATATTGAACTTCAATATTTGCATTAGTTTTCGCTTTTATAAAAGGCAGTGTATGTTAGTACCCTTCAATTATTTTACGATTGGATTTTCTTTTTTATATTCTCTTATAAAATTTGTATTACTTTATTTTGATTTTCTAAGTCTTGTGAAAGTATTAAGCTCTCATTTTAAGATATTTATCTTTACTTTTAAGTAATTTTTGCAAGAAGACATAGTACACCATTAAGGCAGTTTTCAGAAAGTTTTTATTTGTATCTCTGGTTAATTACTTTCTTTTGCTTTATGTTCTGTTAAAAGTATTTTATATCAGATCATTTTAATTGTCTGTATATCTTTAACTATAAAGTTCATATTATAAAATTGATTATTTTCTATTTTTGAAAAAATAAAATGCCCTCTTAAATTAAGATTTCCTATATAGCAACATGTCATCCTCATTAGCAAAGGAAGAAATATTGATTGTTTTTCTCATCTCTGTTAAGAAATCAACTTTCATGCTTTGGACACTTTGTATTATTTTATGAGAATGAATACATACACACACATACGAACTTATCTCTGCTGTTTTTAACTTACTATAATTTTGTGTCCTATACTTGTGGATGTGGGCACTTCACTAGTTCAGTTGCAAAATATTATTATTTTCCCAAAAAAAAATTTACAGTTTTTGTATGTTTGCCTTTCCAGGGATATTTTTTTTCTTAGCATTTCCTTATATTCTTTTGATATCAAGAGCCTGTATTTCTTTCTGTAATATATCAAGAATACTAATAGAAGACTGTCAGCTCTTGCTCTATCTAGAATATGGAATAAAACGGGAGCCAGCATTTTTGTGCAGTATGGTTCACCAGGGCTGCCCTAATACCATTCAGGTGAGGCAGTGGTGCATTCAGGTCCCAGTCATCTAACTGAGGCTCGTGGAGAAAATATAAGTGAGGTTTATATTGCTGTTAGGTGCCGTTGAGGTGGTTCCGACTCGTAGTGACCCTGTGTACAACAGAACGAAACACTGCCCAGTCCTGCACCATCCTCACAGTTGTTGCTGTGTGTGAGCCTGTTGTCTCAGCCACTGTGTCAGTCCGTCTCATTGAGGGTCTTCCTCTTTTCCGATGACCTTCTAGTTTACCAAGTGTGGTGTGCTTTTCCAGGGACTGATCCCTCCTAATAACATGTCCAAAGTACGTGAGACAAAGTCTCACCATCCTCGCTTCTAAGGAGCACTCTGGCTGTACTTCTTCGAAGACGGATTTGTTCATTCTTCTTGCAGTCCATGGTATATTCAGTATTCTTTGCCAACACCATAATTCAAAGGCATCAGTTTTTCTTTGGTCCTCCTTATTCATCCAGCTTTCACATGCATATGAGGTGATTGAAAATCCCATGGCTGGAGGTTTGTATTACTGAAGTTTAAATGTAGTCTCCTTCAGTCACGTTCATAGTCAACAAAGTCTTAAAATTTAAAAACAGACATGCTGACCCCCTCTTGTAGGCAAAATACTAGCCTGAGCATCCATAACTTGATTTCTCAGTCAGCTTACCTCTCGGCTTTTACACCAAATGAATATGTATAAGTGAATCCGTTCTCTCTGCTGCTTGTGATACTCAGAGATCCTGCTGAGACTTAATTTACTGACAAGATGGTTACAAATGATTCCTATCCAAAGAGTTACTTTTGACCCGTAATAGTTTCAGTCATTCTAGAAATGAATAATGTGTATTTTGTGTTATCTTTTTTAAGCTTTTACAGAAGAAGGTTGTATGTGTTATAGAGGCAATATAGATGTTTCATTAAGTATATCCACAGGCACATGTGACCCATAGAGGACTTCAAGTCTTCCTAATGGAAGCATTAATTTTATTCTAAAAGTCCTCTACTTGGCTTAGTGACCACATCACCTAAGCCAACAATCTGTGTGAGTTTAATGACCTAAACTAATTGCATAAGCAATATGTAGGAATGCTTAAACTTAAAATACTGTTGGAAAATTCAGTTGTCATCGTTAAAGACAACAATTCTGAAAATACTAATCATGATTTTCTTATTTTAAAAGTCCAAAGGCTCTGTTTCTAAGTTTGATTGCAAGTCTTAAAATATACAGGCAAGATGGAGAAACACTTTAATTTATTTAACTTTACAAATCACCATTTTTAGACTATGACCATAAATTCTAGAGGACAAGGGTAAGATCATATTCATCTTTCCATCACCGCGTGCCTAGTACATTGCCTAGCTGGTGCTCAACAAATGAATATTTTGGCATTCATTATTTATGTTTAACTTGAATTGCATTTAAATATCAACAACTCTATCACAGCCTCTTAAATATGGCACAGAAATTTTGTTGAGGCAAGTAATCTGAAATCCTTGGCAAACTATAAACTATAGCTTTTATTTTCCTTATATATACGATGATCAGTATAGAATAATCAGGGAATGGGAGTTGAAAACTCAAGCACTGAGTTACTACGTGACCTTAAGAAGTCATTTGTCCTTTTCAGTTCTCCTTTCATAAATGAATAAATGAACAAAGGAAATAATTTTGCTCATGTTGAAACTCAATGATGTATACCTAGATTTGATTTTTTTAGATGTTTCTTGTACATAGTGTAGTCTAAAGCTCATTTCTAAAAAATACACACAAGACAACATAAAACTTTAAAAGGTGCACTACAGACTGAGGAAATACTGCTTTACAGCTACCATCATAACGTAGCTACCAAGGTCATCAAAAAATGCATCTTTGAGGTAGAAAAATTCAAGCAGTTGCAGTAAATGATTCTTCTTCCATTACATTAAAGTCTTTACCCAAACCAAGTGAATTTCTCTCCTTCTGGGGAAGAAATGACTGAATTTTCCCTTTTCTGCCTGAAGAATATATCCCAGTAGACCATGCCATTATTGTATTGTCTTGTGTTAATTTGAGATAAGTAAATTAGAATTCTGTAAAAATGAACAGGACCTGAATATGGGAACTTACACAAGGCAGCCTGCTGGTCACGTGTTGTAACGAGCCAACACTAAAGACACGGTATGCGCCATGCTGCCCGGATTGGTAGCGTGTTTTGTTCTGTAGCGATTATAAATTTATGACCAGGTAATAGGATGGTTTGAATTCTCCAAAGAGGTGTTTGTCTCCAAAATATCAGTCAATACAGCAAACATTCATGTGTTCCTACGTGTGCTTGAATATTTGAAGAAATGGACGTTGTCTGAGGTCATAAGTGATTCGTAGCTATTTCCAATGTTTCTGGAAGTTTTCAAAGCCAGATCATATTGGGTTTTGAATGAGAAGAGTTTACACTTTCATAAGGCTTCACGAAGCACCTCGAATTATTTTTTTTTACATAGTGTTTGCGGTGTCTCGGAGAGATCTTGGTGAATTGTCTGGTTTCTCTGTGTTTACTCTGCCTTCTTTACACTAGCTCCAGTGGCTGCTGGACAATTACGAAACAGCAGAAGGAGTGAGCCTTCCCAGAAGCACTCTGTACAACCACTACCTACGACACTGTCAGGAACACAAACTGGACCCAGTCAATGCTGCCTCTTTTGGAAAACTAATACGGTCAATTTTTATGGGGCTACGTACCAGGCGATTGGGAACTAGGTTAGTACTGAAAAATAAGATCACACACTAATTTCTCTTTTTCAGACTATAGCAGTTCTGTATATTGTTTGAGCAAATATACTTGATTACAGATAATATATAAATAAATAAAATGAGCTCAACTTATAAAATCCCTCAGGAAAAGGAAAGGTCATTCTTCAGTGAATACTGTGAAACCAGAATGATCTGTTGTCTGGAACATTCACTGAGCAAAGCTTTGAGAAGACCTAAATCTAAAACCCCGTGGAGATTAGTAGACCATTCCATGAACTTGAGATTTGCATATGATGCTTTCAAAGTTAATATATATCACATTCTTCTTTTTTGAAAATAGCCATTCTAAAGATGATGAGTAAGGTGATACAGCAAATGGAAAACCATGCATCTCTTGATTCTTGCAAAAGCACATTTAAATGTCTTTATAAATAACAATTCTACTTGAATAGAGTAAGAAATTGAAGCTGAGTTTTTCATTTCATTCCTGGAGATCAATTAAAAACCATTTGGTAAACTTGGAAAATACGGGACTTTGAGGCCCTCGGGAATGACATGATCCTATTTGCCCTGTTATTAGCCTGGTTTTTTTGCTCTTTGTTATGAAACAGTACACGTGGGCAAGTAAACACACAGTACAGCTCCATTGCATGGAAGCCAAGAAGGTGAGGGAGACTCTCTGAACTTGTCTCAGTGTTCCTTTCTTTGGAAATTGATATGAGTGTTTTTACTAATCAAAATGGGATGAAAAGGATACTTAGTGGAGCTTCATTTTTCCCATCCTACAGTTTTTTAAAATTAGCATAATAAAAATATTTTAAGTACTTGGGCAGAGGATATGGATGGCTTTGATTTCCTAAATCTTACAGGAAAAAAAAAGTATAAAAACAGAGATGTTACATTGTGTGACATTAGAAGATATACCTCTAATAAATTAATTATAAATCACAACTTCATAGTATTCTAGTAAATAGTTTTTAGTTTTATTAATAAAATAAACAGAGCCTTAGTAATTGACTTCATTCTAAATTTATACTGAAAAGAGGAGTGTGTCAGTTTTATGAGATTTCTAAGGTTTGTATGTATTCAAAGTGTGAGTTATTCCTTTCTGTTACGTGTTAAGTGACTGTACACCTTTCAGATAGCTGGAGGTTCCATTTGCCCATAAATGTATTTTCTTCTATCTGTGCTTCAAAAGATAGAATACTTTAAACTGGAAAATATGATTAAGTCTATTCAGAGTAAAGGAACTAGTTTCAATCCCTTGAAAAAAGGTTTTTGTTTCTCTAGTATTTTTTTTTTTCCCAGAACCGTGAAAATGATTATTTGGAGACCTAACCTACTCTCTCCTAGCTGATGGTGTGGTGGTTTTGCATACGTGCCAATATTTTGAAACTCTGGGCTTTATTCAACATTCTAATAGCTATATTGTTGTATTCCTTTTGTTACTAAAAGGGATTTCGATAGGCCCTATTCTGAGGCTCCATTCAAACCTTGAAACACATCTTTAAAACAGAAGGGGACAAAATTGGGGCTGTTTGGGTTTGTGAATGAGTAGAATCCATGCTCTGTAAGTACATATTGCAAGATTGTAGCTTTTACTTTCCCATGTTCTTTTTTTCTTCTCCCCTCACTATGTAACAATTACGTCTCCTGTTCTTTTTAAACTTGTATGTAGTGTTTGCAGTTAGGGATGGAAAGCGAAGCCTACAAGAACAAGGAGAAAAGCAGCCCTCTGGGGAAAGTTTAAACAAACGCTGTGTTATGAAGCTAGCCGACCTCTAATGTGGGAAAGCTGACGCCAGCAGGGAGGAGCTACCGCGGGTTAGCCTTCACAGCTCCTAATCCAGGGACACAAGGAGCATCAGCATAAATCATGAGACAAACTCAGTCAGATATATATATATATTTTTTTTTTTTTAATTGAACTATTATTTATCCATCATTAAAATTATCTGGTGAATCCATCAAAAAAGAACTAGACCTTTTCTCAAGTTTTTAAACCGAAGTAAAAAATAAATAAGATAAAATCACCCTGCTTCTAAACGAAGGCACATCCCATTTTCAAATTAAGTTTGAGAATGGAAGATCATGGGACATGCTACTCTCAGTTTTCCTTTCTTTGGAAATAGATATGAGTGTCTTTGCTGACCAAAATATATTGAAAAGCATACTTAGTGAAACTTTCCAGCAGACTAGAAAGAACACCCCGCATCCCCCCAGCCCACTCAAAACGCTGATTTGGAGGAAACGGAAAAGAAACCAGGCACCCCATGTATTTTGTGGTCCCACAAGAGAAACATCACTTTATTCTACAGTTTGTCACCCATTTATGTCCCATGATTATCGACTCCTACTGCTCCCCCCATCTACTCCCTACCCCAGAAAACCAAACGTGTTGCAGTTGAGTCAGTTCCGACTCATAGCGACCCTGTAGGACAGAGCAGAACTGCCCGTAGGGTTTCCAAGGAGCGGCTGGTGGATTCCAACTGCTGACCTTTTGGTTAGCAGCCGTAGCTCTTAACTACTGTGCCACCAGGGCTCCACATCTACTCCCTAAACCAAAAATAAATAAATAAACCCATTTCCGTAGAGTTGATTCCAACTCATAGTGACCCTATAGAACAGAGGAGAACTGCCCCAAAGTGTTTCCAAGCAGCAGCTCGTGGATTGCAACTGCTGACCTTTTGGTTAGCAGCTGAGCTCTTAACCACTGCGCCACCAGGGCTCCATCTACTCCCTGCCACCCTCCAATTCGTACAGGAAACACTACTAACTGGGTTTGTGATATTTTGTGTTTGTATTTTTTTCTTTCTCCATTCAGCAGTGGATTTTGGAGACAGGATCTAATCTCTGCAAGTGGAAGACCTTTCTTTATAGGCCTTCAGTTTTCACTTCTAGTTTATTTTGCTGATGACATATAGGCATTCAGATACCCTGTGTTTTTTTTTTGAACTAGCACTGTTATTTATATAATATGCTTTTAATATATTTTCAAGCATATATGGTTCATCTAATGTATGTTCTTTAATCTTGGAAGTAAAATTCTGCCCCATTTTTATATGAACTATTTAATCCACACTCCCCTTGCATTTCTTTTTTGTAAAAAAAAAAAAAAAATGGAGTGTACTGATGTCTTCCTATATATAGACCAGTGAGAAACCTCTATTTTTTCTTTGGAAAAATTTACATATTTAAAATGTTATTTTTGCAGGAATTTGCAAATTCCATTCAGAGCAAAACTTTGTCATTTCTAATGGCAGACATAGCTTTTCTCATGAACATGGGGAAATTGTGAAATTTTTATTCCAGGCTGGAAATTTGCCATTTTTACAGAAAAAATTTCCCATGTCGGTTGTGACACATCTTATTCAGCCTGCAAAACTAACATGAATCCATGAAAACAGAGACTAATAAACTGTGTTTCAAAATGAATAGATTAAATGCCTGCTTTTAATATTTATAAGTCCTTTTACGTCTGAAAATATTAAATACTAGACTTTACCACATCATCTTGCAACAATAAAATCATCTTACTTTGCCATCCCGGAAGTACAGAGAACTAGAAAAATGTGGAGTTTATCCAAGACAGTAGAACTGAGATTGTTTTTTCCTTTTAAGTTTGCTTTGTATGCCACTTCACAGCAAATTCCTACGTAGTGTGCCGTCTTTATCCTGTTCATAAATTTTCATTGGGCAGAAACATTTCTCCCTCCCATCGCCTCTCCTAAACTAATATAAATTTAAGACATAAATTCAAAAATAAAATGTAACTTGAGTGGACTAAGTGGACTGTTTGACCAATATTTAAGTAAAAGTTTATAAGGAACGACTCTTTTTAGGCCCCTGAGCTGATGGATCAGAGTCCTGTCTTGATTTTTCAAATGCAGTCACCATAACAGCACACACAGGTATCAAGAACAGGTGAATCATAAATACATAACATTATATGCTGCTTTTATCTAATTTTCTTTCCCAAACTTGAATTTAACTGGACATCCTGTGTGGTTAATATTGGTTTGACTGACTTTTTGTGTTTCCAATGTTTGTTGTTCTTTTATAAAGAGGAAACTCCAAGTACCATTACTATGGGATTCGCGTCAAGCCAGAGTCCCCTCTTAATCGTCTGCAAGAAGACATGCAGTACATGGCCATGAGACAGCAGCCAATGCAGCAGAAACAAAGGTAGACCATGGAGTGATCGCCGACGTGGCAGAGCTATGTGTTCGTTATATGTTCGGGCTCCTTTTTTTCTGAACAGATACCTAAGCGCTCAAGGATGTGGCTATTGTTGGCATGCTTTCACTATGGACAGTTCTCAAATATGATTTAGAATGTCAGTGATTCTTTCTAGTTCCCAGGTCCTTTAAAATCACTTATCAGTCAGCCTGTTGTCCCTTTGACGTGAAGCGTGCCATCCCAAATTGCTCAGACAGGGAAATGAAGCAGAAAGCATTATAAGGTGTGTATCCACGCAAGGAGCAACTGGAGAAACTTGCCTCAGTATTCATGAGCTTCTGACTTGCTATTCTTCACATCCCCCAAGTCATTCTTTTTGACACAGTATGAATCCCTGCGGAATGCTTGGAACTTCTTAGGTTTTCTTTGAATCCAACTTTCATAAACAGAATTGTAGCTATTAGAGCTGTAAGAGATCTCAAGCCTTCATTCATGGATGGATGGATGGATGGCTGGATGAGTGAATAGAATCACAGATCTTAGAACTGAAAAATACCAGTCTGGTCCAGCTCTATAGCCTTCTGATGATCAAAGCATTAATAGCCCTAATTTTCAGATGAGTCCCCAAGAGGTTAAATGATTTCCACAGGCCCATCAGGCTTTACCTAGCCCAGGGACGTCTGGTCCCATGTGACTTATGTCATGATTTAGTCAATGGAATGAAAAACTCATCCGTCTTTGCCAGTATAGCTCAGCCATGACTGTAGTCAGAATTTTTCTTTTCCATTGAGCGTCTAATATTAGGTGGGGGAAAGGAGACCTCCACATAGGTGGGCATATGGTCTGCATCCGTCTGCCGTAACACAGTGGCCTAGGGTGATGAGTTGCCTTGGCCAGATCGCCTCCACATCTGTGCTGTAGCTTTACGTACAAGTGCCAGTGCTGCAGAAAGGACAGGACGTATCCTTCATCCACTGAGTCAGCGAGCACTGTTTGAGTCTCTACTATGTGCTAGGCCCTGCATGCAGATTGAGACAGCTCCCTACCTTTGAGGAGTTAAGAAATTAGAAGGGGAAACACATGGGGAATTAAAAAAAAAAAAGGTACTACAATCTGAGAAATGCTAATATAAAGCTTTGATCAAGAAACTGTTTGAATACAGAGGAATTTTCAGCACACTCTCTCTGGAGAAGGAGGATTGGGAGGCTTCAGAGAGAAAGCTGTTGGGGTGAGGACTTAGAGGAGTCAGAAAAGGGGATCATCAAGCAGAGGGAATACTGGAAACAAGCACCTAGAGGGAAAAACCACAGTGTCTTTGGTAAATGGTCCAGGATTTGGTGAAGCTTCTGTTTTAGGAGGAGGCTTGAGGAAAGGGCCGAGGAGTTTAGTGGGAAATGAGATTCAAAAGGTAGTTTGAATCGTAGGTTACAGGACTTGGTTGTATGTGAAGCTAATATGTTTGCTTTTTGTGCACTTGACTTGAAGCTGTGTCAGACTTTTAAGCAGAACAATGGCATTTTCAGATTTTTTTCTAAAATATTACTTTTTATTTGGGGCAAGACATCTCTAATGGGAAGAGGTGGATGTGAGGACATTTGCTGAGAGTCGTGATTTCCAAGGAGAGAGTTTCAGACTGAAGAGTTAGTTCAGCATTGGCTATAATATACAGATATCTCAAGGGTTTTCGATTTTTAATTCACAGATTCTCAGTCATTTTTTAAATGGCTGATCCTTTTCTTTGATTTATAGCCAGTGAAACATGTTAAGAAGGCCTCTAAAAATAAATAAATAAATCCTAGAATAGAACCTCGTAAGGCTGGAGGTAGAGCTTGTGTTGTTGTTCGGTGCTGTCGAGTCGGTTCTGATTCATAGCAGCCCTGTGTACAGCACAACCAAACACTGCCCTGTTTGTGTGAGTTGTAGTAATAAAGGGTTGCCATCTTGTGCTGTGATTACTTTTTCCACGTTAGTGGTGGCATTTATTGCTTTTACTTTCTGGTGTGGTCCCCGCCCTCGTGCTTAGCAGCATCACACAGTCGAGATGATGGTGAGAACAAAAGCTAGAAAAAGAAAATGGAATTTGATTCAGAAGTCACATAATCAAGAGCTAGAAAAAGAAAAAGGAGTTTGATGCAGATGTAACATATACTCCAACTTTCTTATGAACAAAACCCCGCTAAATTGCATCTAAGACATCTGAAGCCAACTTCTTTCTGTGATTCAGCTGCAAGGAATCTTAGCAAGCTTTCATGGACACGGAAGCCTTAAAGGACGTTCTTTAATAGCAAGCTTGGGTTAGGTGACAAAGACCTGGGACATTCTACAGTATCCTTATGAAACAGAGGCCAGAGGTATAAAGGTTATTAATGAACCATAAAACGCTGCAGTCTGGGTGTACTAGTAGTTGGTTTTAGAAGTCGTTATAATGTGGATGTAGTTAAGAAATGATATAAAAGTTCTCAGTAATGTTAATTCTCCAGACTTCAGTCTCTTACAGAGTTTGCTTTCTTATGAAGTAAGAATGTTAGGGAAGCAAAGTAGTACAGAAACTTCCTTTCATTCCTTGTTTTTTTAAACAGTACAGGGTTTGGATTATGGGAAGTTGCAATTGGAAACGTCTTGCTGACTGACTGGAGAGGGCTGGTGTTGTCAACAGCACCTTGTTGGGATTAGCAGAAGGACAGCAGGAGGACTCTGTTGTCTCTGAAGGACTCTGTCGCTTGGCAGGACTGATAGGCCTTCACTAAGCCCATTACCCATTGTGCAGAAACAGCTGGCCAGTAGAAGGAGTGTTTCTCTTCAAGGCTGTGGAAGTAAGCCTTAAGTGAAGAGTATTTCTTAAAAACAAGGAAAAGACTATCTCACCGTATCATTTGTTTTATGGCTTTAAAATAAAACATGATGATTCCAAAGCTCAAATGATTCTATTCAATATATTAAAATTCACACTAGAAGGTTCTGCCACTGTCTCGTTAAAATACAAATGATGTATGGAAGACTTAACATATTTTATAGCAGGTACTAGCATTTAATATTTCAGGATATCCAAATTGCTTAAATGTCTTCAAGTTTCTTGTATGCATCTATGTGCACACATCTTCCATAGTACACGTTTACGTATTCTACGTGTTCTGGTAGTGAGAGAATTGAAGTTGTGCAGTGATTATTTGACCGAGTAAAAGTGAGGCTTCAGACTTCACTTTGTAAAATTCTCTGGTGAGTTTGGAATCATAGTAGCTGAAGTGGTAATAGTGATGATTGTTTTGTGTGGCTTCACCATTTTCAAAGCTATTTCACGTATGGTATCTCATTTAAAGATTTTATAGGATGGTGGCGGAAATTTCCACTTCTCCACAAGTCAAATTGCCAGCAACACCAGCATGTGCAACACAGCCATGAGTCTGGAAATAAACAGAAAGAGCTTCTGATTGAAAAACAGATGTCACAGAGCCTGTAGATTAGCTTAATTGAAATGATGAAGTCATCTTCGAGCCATTTAACTAAAATGAAGAAGCAGATTAGAGCCCACTTGATTCGCAGATGACCTAGGGATATGACAGCTGGCAAGAGGAACATCAGTGGCAGGGTATTCTGTGTGCTCCTAGGTTATTCAGTGCAGTGGGCTGGACACTCAGTGGATGGACAAGTGGACTGAGGCACTGCAGTACCACTCCAGTGACTAGCAGCCAGTCTAACCCGTGGAGTAACCGCTTTTCATATTGATGGCATTATGGGCAATCACTAAGGGGTAAAATACCGGGATTAAAAAAGCAGGATAATGTGTAACACATTTTTTAAAAATAGCTTCTGTTGAAAATACTTTACATGAAAATTAGTTTTGCACTTACAAGAGATAATCTTCAATTTTCAAGGAAAATTCACTCATGATCTAATTTGCTTACCCTGATTTAGACAACAGATAAATTAGGTTCATGTAGAGCAAGAGGGAGATCAGTAATTTTCATCTACAAACTGTGTGAAGATGTTTGCTGCAGTTTATTTTTAATATTTAAAAGAAGTACCTAGCGAGTATCGCCACATATATTTTCACTGTCTTTCCAAAATCCTAGTAGCAAAAGTGATGGAATAGAGGCGAGTGCTTTTGACAATGTGCTTGGCTGTGTTTGATCCCTGTGACCATTCTCAAAATATTTAACTGCATTCATCATTTCCTCAAGTATGTATCAAATGCCAATTGCATAGAGAGTGTATACATCACATTGAATAAAGATGTCAGAGGATCAGAGAATGCTAGAGTCAGAGGAAGAGATCATCTAGCCCAACCCATTCTCTTGATGAGGAAACTGAGGCCCATAAAGGGTAGATAACTTATCTACACTCATATAGCAATCAAGACAAGAACCCAGACCTCCTGTTTTATTCTTGATAATTCCACCTTCAGAGAGGTAAGATAAGCCAAAGAAACATACACATGTAATAAAATATATACATATGAAATCAAGGCAAAAATCACACTTTAATGAGTAAGTCCCCAAAAGATGAGGGACTGTGCCACTTCCTGCCTCTTTGCCTGGTCTCTCCACAGGAAGTAGATTCTGTGAAAGAAGGAAGGTTTGTAGCACTGAGGGTAGGAAAATAGAAGTCAACGGGAAAAATGGGATAGAAAGGCTGCTTTTGCTTTGGCTCAGATAGATGTGAAAGCTTGCCTTTTCCTAAAGAGTGAGGGAAGAAATCAAAGAACTTTCATCACTAAAAACCCCTTCTTGATGCGGGCCTCACAGACCAGTGGAAAGAACTTCCTACTTAGAATTAGGAAATAAGGATTTGAGTACACCCGGCTTTGGCACTTCTGCAGTGTGTGTGACTTAACCTCCCTGAGCCTTAATTTCTTCATCTGCAAAGTGGAAATTAATAATAACAAACTATAGTTACCATTATTACCATAGCTATGCACACTAGCGAAAAATACTTATTTAGAGGTAGGGGTGTTCAAACAGAACAAGGGGATGCTGCACAGTTTAAAATCAGGAAAGGTGACCATCAGG